TTGAATGTGTGTTGCTAGTGGGTTTGAATGTGTGTTGCTATTGGGTTTGAATGTGTGTTGCTAGTGGGTTTGAATGTGTGTTGCTATTGGGTTTGAATGTGTGTTGCTAGTGGGTTTGAATGTGTGTTTCTAGTGGGTTTGAATGTGTGTTGCTAGTGGGTTTGAATGTGTGTGTGTTTCTAGTGGGTTTGAATGTGTGTTGCTAGTGGGTTTGAATGTGTGTTGCTAGTGGGTTTGAATGTGTGTTGCTAGTGGGTTTGAATGTGTGTTGCTAGTGGGTTTGAATGTGTGTTGCTAGTGGGTTTGAATGTGTGTTGCTAGTGGGTTTGAATTTAGTGGGTTTGTGTGTTGCTAGTGGGTTTGAATGTGTGTTGCTAGTGGGTTTGAATGTGTGTTGCTAGTGGGTTTGAATGTGTGTTGCTAGTGGGTTTGAATGTGTGTTGCTATTGGGTTTGAATGTGTGTTGCTAGTGGGTTTGAATGTGTGTTGCTAGTGGGTTTGAATGTGTGTTTCTAGTGGGTTTGAATGTGTGTTTCTAGTGGGTTTGAATGTGTGTTGCTAGTGGGTTTGAATGTGTGTTTCTAGTGGGTTTGAATGTGTGTTGCTAGTGGGTTTGAATGTGTGTTGCTAGTGGGTTTGAATGTGTGTTGCTAGTGGGTTTGAATGTGTGTTGCTAGTGGGTTTGAATGTGTGTTGCTAGTGGGTTTGAATGTGTGTTGCTAGTGGGTTTCAATGTGTGTTGCTAGTGGGTTTCAATGTGTGTTGCTAGTAGGTTTGAATGTGTGTTGCTAGTGGGTTTGAATGTGTGTTGCTAGTGGGTTTGAATGTGTGTTGCTAGTGGGTTTGAATGTGTGTTGCTAGTGGGTTTGAATGTGTGTTGCTAGTGGGTTTGAATGTGTGTTGCTAGTGGGTTTGAATGTGTGTTGCTAGTGGGTTTGAATGTGTGTTGCTAGTGGGTTTGAATGTGTGTTGCTAGTGGGTTTGAATGTGTGTTGCTAGTGGGTTTGAATGTGTGTTGCTAGTGGGTTTGAATGTGTGTTGCTAGTGGGTTTGAATGTGTGTTGCTAGTGGGTTTGAATGTGTGTTGCTAGTGGGCTTGAATGTGTGTTGCTAGTGGGTTTGAATGTGTGTTGCTAGTGGGTTTGAATGTGTGTTGCTATTGGGTTTGAATGTGTGTTGCTATTGGGTTTGAATGTGTGTTGCTATTGGGTTTGAATGTGTGTTGCTAGTGGGTTTGAATGTGTGTTTCTAGTGGGTTTGAATGTGTGTTGCTAGTGGGTTTGAATGTGTGTTTCTAATGGGTTTGAATGTGTGTTTCTAGTGGGTTTGAATGTGTGTTGCTAGTGGGTTTGAATGTGTGTTGCTAGTGGGTTTGAATGTGTGTTGCTAGTGGGTTTGAATGTGTGTTGCTAGTGGGTTTGAATGTGTGTTGCTAGTGGGTTTGAATGTGTGTTGCTAGTGGGTTTGAATGTGTGTTGCTAGTGGGTTTGAATGTGTGTTGCTATTGGGTTTGAATGTGTGTTGCTAGTGGGTTTGAATGTGTGTTGCTAGTGGGTTTGAATGTGTGTTGCTAGTGGGTTTGAATGTGTGTTGCTAGTGGGTTTGAATGTGTGTTTCTAGTGGGTTTGAATGTGTGTTTCTAGTGGGTTTGAATGTGTGTTGCTAGTGGGTTTGAATGTGTGTTTCTAGTGGGTTTGAATGTGTGTTGCTAGTGGGTTTGAATGTGTGTTGCTAGTGGGTTTGAATGTGTGTTGCTAGTGGGTTTGAATGTGTGTTGCTAGTGGGTTTGAATGTGTGTTGCTAGTGGGTTCGAATGCGTGTTGCTAGTGGGTTCGAATGCGTGTTTCTAGTGGGTTCGAATGCGTGTTTCTAGTGGGTTTGAATGCGTGTTTCTAGTGGGTTTCAATGCGGGTTTCTAGTGGGTTTGAACGTGGGTTTCTAGTGGGTTTGAATGCGTGTTTCTAGTGGGTTTGAATGCGGGTTTCTAGTGGCTTTGAATGCGGGTTTCTAGTGGGTTTGAAAGCGGGTTTCTAGTGGGTTTGAATGCGTGTTTCTAGTGGGTTTGAATGCGGGTTTCTAGTGTGTTTGAATGCGGGTTTCTAGTGGGTTTGAATGTGGGTTTCTAGTGGGTTTAAATGTGGGTTTCTAGTGGGTTTGAATGCATGTTTCTAGTGGGTTCGAATGCGTGTTTCTAGTGGGTTTGAATGTGGGTTTCTAGTGGGTTTAAATGTGGGTTTCTAGTGGGTTTAAATGTGGGTTAAATGTGGGTTTCTAGTGGGTTTCTAGTGGGTTTGAATGCATGTTTCTAGTGGGTTTGAATGTGGGTTTCTAGTGGGTTTGAATGTGGGTTTCTAGTGGGTTTGAATGTGGGTTTCTAGTGGGTTTGAATGTGGGTTTCTAGTGGGTTTGAATGCGGGTTTCTAGTGGGTTTGAATGCGGGTTTCTAGTGGGTTTGAATGCGGGTTTCTAGTGGGTTTGAATGCGGGTTTCTAGTGGGTTTAAATGCGGGTTTCTAGTGGGTTTAAATGCGTGTTTCTAGTGGGTTTGAATGCGGGTTTCTAGTGGGTTTGAATGAGGATTTCTAGTGGGTTTAAATGCGTGTTTCTAGTGGGTTTGAATGCGTGTTTCTAGTGGGTTTGAATGCGGGTTTCTAGTGGGTTCGAATGTGGGTTTCTAGTGGGTTTGAATGTGGGTTTCTAGTGGGTTTAAATGTGGGTTTCTAGTGGGTTTCTAGTGGGTTTGAATGCATGTTTCTAGTGGGTTTGAATGCGTGTTTCAAGTGGGTTTGAATATGTTTCAAGTGGGTTTGAATTTGTGTTTCAAGTGGGTTTGAATGCGTGTTTCTAGTGGGTTTGAATGCGTGTTTCTAGTGGGTTTGAATGCGGGTTTCTAGTGGGTTCGAATGTGGGTTTCTAGTGGGTTTGAATGTGGGTTTCTAGTGGGTTTAAATGTGGGTTTCTAGTGGGTTTCTAGTGGGTTTGAATGCATGTTTCTAGTGGGGTTGAATGCGTGTTTCAAGTGGGTTTGAATGCGTGTTTCAAGTGGGTTTGAATGCGTGTTTCAAGTGGGTTTGAATGTGGGTTTCAAGTGGGTTTGAATGTGTTTCAAGTGGGTTTGAATTTGTGTTTCTAGTGGGTTTGAATGCGTGTTTCAAGTGGGTTTGAATGCGTGTTTCAAGTGGGTTTGAATGTGTTTCAAGTGGGTTTGAATTTGTGTTTCTAGTGGGTTTGAATGCGTGTTTCTAGTGGGTTTGAATGCGTGTTTCTAGTCTGTTTGAATGCGTGTTTCTAGTGGGTTTGAATGCGGGTTTCTAGTGGGTTTGAATGCGGGTTTCTAGTGGGTTTAAATGCGAGTTTCTAGTGGGTTTGAATGTGGGTTTCTAGAAGTTTCTGGATGGATTATGAGAATCTTACAAAATCCAAGGATCTAATCACAAAGGCCATAGTATTCAAATCACTTGCGTTGTCCCGTCTTGAGTCCTGCTGAAGTATTGAGAATACATGGAACATATACGGTACGCATTGACACGATAAAGGATTTAAATATTGGAACCGTCTCATAGCTCTCAAAATGTACTTTCTGCAAAGGAGACGAGAGAGTTATCACATAATATAGATATGGAAGATACTGGAGGGCCAGGTCCCAAATTTGCCCAGTAAAATAACATACAGTGAACGATATGGCAGGAAATGCAAAACAGAGCCACTGAAGAGTAGAGGTGCCATAGGCGCAATCAGAGAACACTGTATGGGCATCAGAGGTCCACGGAGGTTCAATATCCTCCCAGAAAAATAAAATTGACAGTTTCCGGCAAAAAGTGCTGGACCAACCAGGATGTAGTGGAAATGTGGGCCGGCGGGTCGCTCCAAGCAACAGCCTGTTGGACCAAGCAGTCGAGCCTGGCCCAAGTCCGGCCTTGGAAACACCAGAACCCCCTCCAGGTACAATCCAGGTCCTTAGGTTCCAGTAGTCGAGTGCCCACATACCCGTCTTGCAAGCAGTAGTGTACCCACCATACCCATCCATGGAAGTCTGGTGAGAACGACTCTTGCTTTCGTGTGAAAGTGATCGCTCACCTTCATTCAATCAAACTGTTGTGGCGAGTACACCGCATCTGAGGTTAAGCCTCTCTGACAACATCTCTAAATTGAGGTCAAGCCTGACTGACAAGCCTTGAGTAACTGATCAATTGACCGACCGAAGGTTAATTCAAATTGACAAAGGGACATTTAGCGTCACGGCATACACTTACAAGGACTGTGGACACGGAGCAAGGAGGAAATGGAATTAGGAAGATGAGAAGGAGGAATAGGAAGGAGAGAAATCAAGAACGGTGTTCACTATCAAATAAGATGAGGCCGATCAACGGTTGTATGTCTCCGTTAACGGAAGATTCATCTCTTAGATCAGTCTTCCGTTAACGGAGAAAGTCAGGTTGTGTCTTAACGTAAGCTAGGATGTCGTAGGCTGAGTGTGTGACACGTAGTTTGAGTCTACGTCGATTGTGTCTGTTAACGGGGGGGAGGGGGGGGATTGTCACTAGGGCTATTATAGTTAACTGCGGGAGTTAACAGAACAGGAGGTTCTTGCAATTGGCCCTATAAATAGGTGTGTTTGTGCATGCTAACGAGTGTGTGTGTGTGTGTGTGTGTGTGTGTGTGTGTGTGTGTGTGTGTGTGTGTGTGTGTGTGTGTGTGTGTGTGTGTGTGTGTGTGTGTGTCAGCGTGCGGGCGCGGGCGCCAGAGGGCCCTCCGGCCATCATCACAGAGACCATCGCCCGCCAACCGTCCTCCAGTTCCCGCGCTCAAGCCGTCTCGGTAATAACGACTTTTCCCGCCACCAGCTGCCAAGCCCCAAACTCCTTTATTAAGAGTCGTATCGGTGCCTGGCACTCCCCTGGGGGCTAAACTCTCCCCCCCCCAGTGGCACTCGCTTGGATCAGTGGGCACCTTCGGTAAAACGGTCTTCTAATTACCCCATGCCTTCAGGCCAAGCCATCCATGCCTTCAGGTCAAGCCACCCACGCCCCCAGGACAAGCCACCCACGCCCCCAGGTCAAGCCACCCACGCCCCCCAGGCCAAGCCATCCACGCCCCCCAGGTCAAGCCATCCACGCCCCCAGGCCAAGCCACCCACGACCCCAGGTCAAGCCACCCACGCCCCCAGGCCAAGCCACCCACGCCCCCAGGCCAAGCAACCCACGCCAAGCCACCCACGCCCCCAGGTCAAGCCACCCACGCCCCCAGGCCAAGCCACCCACGCCCCCAGGCCAAGCCACCCACGCCTCCAGGCCAAGCAACCCACGCCAAGCCACCCACGCCCCCAGGTCAAGCCACCCACGCCCCCCAGGTCAAGCCACCCACGCCCCAGGTCAAGCCACCCACGCCCCCCAGGTCAAGCCCCCATCGCCCCCCAGGTCAAGCCACCCACGCCCCCCAGGTCAAGCCACCCACGCCCCCCCAGGTCAAGCCACCCACGCCTCCCAGGTCAAGCCACCCATGCCCCTAGGCCAAGCAACCCACGCCAAGCCACCCACGCCCCCAGGTCAAGCCACCCACGCCCCCAGTCCAAGCCACCCACGCCCCCAGGTCAAGCCACCCACGTCCCCAGGCCAAGCCACACACGCCCCCCAAGTCAAGCCCCCATCGCCCCCCAGGTCAAGCCACCCACGCCCTCAGGCCAAGCCACCCACGCCCCCCAGGTCAAGCCACCCACGCCCCCCAGGTCAAGCCCCCATCGCTCCCCAGGTCAAGCCACCCACGCCCCCCAGGTCAAGCCACCCACGCCCCCCAGGTCAAGCCACCCACGCCCCCAGGTCAAGCCACCCACGCCCCCAGGCCAAGCAACCCACGCCAAGCCACCCACGCCCCCAGGTCAAGCCACCCACGCCCCCAGACCAAGCCACCCACGCCCCCAGGTCAAGCCACCCACGCCCCCAGACCAAGCCACCCACGCCCCCAGGTCAAGCCACCCACACCCCCAGGCCAAGCCACCCACGCCCCCAGGCCAAGCCACCCACGCCCCCAGGTCAAGCCACCCACGCCCCCAGACCAAGCCACCCACGCCCCCAGGCCAAGCCACCCACGCCCCCAGGCCAAGCAACCCACGCCAAGCCACCCACGCCCCCAGGCCAAGCCACCCACGCCCCCCAGGCCAAGCCACCCACGCCCCCAGGCCAAGCCACCCACGCCCCCAGGCCAAGCCACCCACGCCCCCAGGCCAAGCCACCCACGCCCCAGGCCAGCCCCCCAGGCCAAGCCACCCACGCCCCCAGGCCAAGCCACCCACGCCCCCAGGCCAAGCCACCCACGCCAAGCCACCCACGCCCCCCAGGCCAAGCCACCCACGCCCCCAGGCCAAGCCACCCACGCCCCCAGGCCAAGCCACCCACGCCCCCAGGCCAAGCCACCCACGCCCCCAGGCCAAGCCACCCACGCCCGCAGGCGAATCCACCCACGCCCCCCAGGCCAAGCCACCCACGCCCCCAGGCCAATCCACCCACGCCCCCAGGCCATGCCACCCACGCCCCCAGGCCAAGCCACCCACGCCCCCCAGGCCAAGCCACCCACGCCCCCAGGCCAAGCCACCCACGCCCCCCAGGCCAAGCCACCCACGCCCCCAGGCCAAGCCACCCACGCCCCCCAGGCCAAGCCACCCACGCCCCCAGGCCAAGCCACCCACGCCCCCAGGCCAAGCCACCCACGCCCCCAGGCCAAGCCACCCACGCCCCCAGGCCAAGCCACCCACGCCCCCCAGGCCAAGCCACCCACGCCCCCAGGCCAAGCCACCCACGCCCCCAGGCCAAGCCACCCACGCCCCCAGGCCAAGCCACCCACGCCCCCCAGGCCAAGCCACCCACGCCCCCAGGCCAAGCCACCCACGCCCCCCAGGCCAAGCCACCCACGCCCCCAGGCCAAGCCACCCACGCCCCCCAGGCCAAGCCACCCACGCCCCCAGGCCAAGCCACCCACGCCCCCAGGCCAAGCCACCCACGCCCCCAGGCCAAGCCACCCACGCCCCCAGGCCAAGCCACCCACGTCTCACACTCCGCCATACGATATTCAATTTCACTCGTATCTCCCGAGAAAATATTGGGAAATTAGTTTGGTGTGATGGTATGGTGAGGCGTGTTTCCTTTCTCGAGGCGCGTGCACGCACGCACGTACGCGCGCGCGCACACACACACACACACACACACACACACACACACACACACACACACACACACACACACACACACACACACACACACACACGCACCTGTGGGGGCCCCTGACGATTAAGCGCTCAAGATTCGTAATCTTAAGGGTCCGAGTTCGATCCCCGTCGAAGGAGGAAACAAATGAGTAGAGTTTCTTTCACCCTCATACCCCCTGTTCACCTAGCAGTAAATAGGTAACTGGGAGTTAGACAGCTGCTTCCTTGGGAGGGTGTTTGAAAAAAAAATATTGATTGACAGTTGAGAGGCGGGCCCAAAGAGCCAGAGCTCAACCCCTGAACACTACTAGAGTACATAATAGAGCTTGTGATCGTGGATCGTGGACCACGTCTGTCTGTCTGTCAGTGACAGGACAACATAGAATCTCCAATAATAACTCTATTACAGATAATCCGTTGCAACAAGGAATAATCCACTCTGCCTATTATACTGGGCTAGAACACACCAATATGCAATATTTTAGACTAATGATCTCACACAGACTAAATAATGGTGGTGGTGGTGGTGATGGTGGTGGTGGTGGTGGTGGTGGGTGGTGGGGGTGGTGGTGGTTGTGGTACTGGTTGGTTGGTGGTGGTGGTGGGTGGTTGGTGGTGGTGATGGTGGTGGTGGTGGTGGTGGTGGTGGGTGGTGGTGGGTTGGTGGTGGTGGTGGGTGGTGGTGGTGGTGGTTGGTGGTACTGGTGGTGATGGTGGTGGTGGTGGGTTGGTGGTGGTGGTGGTGGTACTGTTGGTGGTGGTGGTGGTGGTGGTGGTGGTGGTGTGTTGGTGGTACTGGTGGTGGTGGTGGTACTGGTGGTTGGTGGTGGGGGTGGTTGGTGGTACTGGTGGGTTGGTGGTACTGGTGTTGTTGTGGTGGTGGTGGGGTGGTGGTGGTGGTGGTTGGTGGGTGGTGGGGGTGGTGGTGGTTGTTGTTGTTGGTGGTGGTGGTGGTGGTGGTGGATGGTGGTGGATGGTGGTGGTGGTGGATGATGGTGGTGGATGGTGGTGGTGGTGATGGATGGTGGTGGTGATGGATGGTGGTGGTGGATGGTGTTGTTGTGGTACTGGTGGTGGTGGTGGTGGTACTGGTGGTGGTGGTACTGGTGGATGATGGTGGTGGTGCTGGTGGTGGTGATGGTGGTGGTGGTACTGGGTGGTGGTGGTGGTGATGGTGGTGGTGGTACTGGATGGTGGTGGTACTGGTGGTGGTAGTGATGGATGGTGGTGGATGGTGGTGGTGGTGGATGGTGGTGGTGGTGGATGGTGGTGGTGGTGGTGGTGGTGGTGGTGGTGGATGGTGGTGGTGGTGTGTGGTGGTGGTGGTGGTTGTGGTGGTGGTGTGGAGTGGTGGTGGTGGGTGGTGGTGGTGGTGGTTGGTGGTACTGATGGTGGTGGGATGGTGTGTTGGTGGTGGTGGTGTGTTGGTGGTGGTGGTGGTTGGTGGTGGTGGTAGTGGTGGTACTGGTGGTGGGGTGGTGGTGGTGGTGGACTGGTGGTGGTGGTGGTGGATGGTGGTGTGGTGTTGGTGGTGGTGGTGGTGGTGGTACTGGTGTGGATGGTGGTGGTGGTGGATGGACTGGTGGTGGTGGTGGTGGTGGTTGGTGGTGATGGTGGTGGTGATGGATGGTGGTGGAGGTGATGATGGATGGTGGTGGATGGTGGTGGTGGTGGTTGTTGTTGGTGGTGGTGGTTGTTGTTGGTGGTGGTGGTGATGGATGGTGGTTGGTGGTGGTGGTGGTGGTGGTTGTTGTTGTTGTTGTTGTTGTTGTTGTTGGTGGTGGTGATGGTGGTGGTGATGGTGGTGGATGGTGGTGGTGGTGGTTGTTGTTGTTGGTGGTGGTGGTACTGGTGGTGGTGGTGGTTGGTGGTGGTGGTTGTTGTTGTGGTGGTTGGTGGTGGTGGTGGTGGTGGTTGGTGGTGGTTGGTGGTGGTGGTTGTTCCTGTTGTGTGGTGGTTGGTGGTGGTGGTGGTTGGTGGTGGTTGGTGGTGGTGGTTGTGTGGTGGTTGTTGGTGGTGGTGGTGGTGGTGGTGGTGGTGGTGGTGGTGGTGGATGGTGGTGGTGGTGGATGATGGTGGTGGTGGATGATGGTGGTGGTGGTAGGGTGGTGGTGATGGATGGTGGTGGTGGTGGTGGTGGTGGTCGTGGTGGTGGTGGTGGTGGTGGTGGTGGTGGTGGTGGTGGTGGTGGTGATGGATGGTGGTGGTGGTGGTGGTGGTGGTGGTGGTACTGATGGTGGTGGTGGTGGATGGTGGTGGTACTGGTGGGTGGTGGATGGTGGTGGTGGTGATGGTGGTGGTGGATGGTGGTGGTGGTGATGGTGGTGGTGGTGGATGGTGGTGGTGGTGGTGGTGGTGGTGGTTGATGGTGGTGGTGGTGATGGTGGTGGTGGTGGATGGTGGTGGTGGTGATGGATGGTGGTGGATGGTGGTGGTGGTGGTGGTGGTTGGTGGTGGTGGTGGTGTTGGATGGTGGTGGTGTGGTGGTGGTGGTGGTGGTGGGTGTTACTGGTGGTGGTGATGGATGGTGGTGGATGGTGGTGGTGGTTGTTGTTGTTGGTGGTTATGATGGTGGTGGATGGTGGTGGTGGTGATTGGTGTGGTTGTTGGTGGTTTGGTGGTGGTGGTGGTGGTGGTGGTGGTGGTTGGTGGTGGTGGTGGTGGTGGTGGTGGTGGGTGGTGGTGGTGGTGTGTTGGTGGTACTGGTGTTTTTGGTTGTACTGGTGGTTGGTGGTGGTGGTGGTGGTGGTACTGGTGGTGGTGGTGGTGGTGGGTTGGTGGTTGGTGTGTTGTTGGTGGTGGTGATTGGTGGTACTGGTGGTGGTGGTGGTGGTTGTTGGTGGTTCTGGTGGTGGTGGTACTGGTGGGTTGGTGGTTGTGGTGGGTTGGTGGTGGTGGTGGTGATGGTGGTGGTGGTGGTGGTGGTGGTGATGGTGGTGGTGGTGGTGATGATGGTGGTGGTGGTCGATGGTGGTAGTGGTGGTTGGTGGATGGTGGGTGGTGGTGGTGGTGGGTGGTGGTGGTGGTTGTTGTGGTTGTTGTGTGTTGGTGGTGTTGTTGGTGGTGGTGGTGGTGGTGATGGTGGGGTGGTGGTGGTGGTGTGATGGTGGTGGTGGTGATGTTGGTGGTGGTGGTGATGATGGTGGTGGTGGTGGTGTTGGTGGTGGTGGTGTGTTGGTGGTTGGTGTTGTGGTGGTGGTGGTGGGTTGGTGGTGGTGGTGGTTGGTGGTACTGGTGGTGGTGGTGGTGGTGGTGGGTTGGTGGTGGTGGTGATGGTGGTGGTACTGGTGATGGTGTGGTGGTGGTGGTGATGGTGGTGGTGATGGTGGTGGTGGTGTGGTGGTGGTGATGGATGGTGGTGGTACTGGTGGTGGTGGTACTGGTGGTGGGTGGTGGTGGTTGGTGGTGGTGGTGGGATGGTGGTGGTGGTGTGGTGGTGGTACTGGTGGTGATGGTGGTACTGGTGGTGGGTGGTGGTGGTGGTGGTGGTGGTGGTGGTGGTGGTGGTGGTGGTGGTGGTGATGGATGGTGGTGGTGGTGATGGATGGTGGTAGTGGTGGTGGTGGTGGCGGTGGTGGTGCTGGATGGTGGTGGATGGATGGTGGTGGTGGATGGTGGTGACTGGTTGGTGGAGGTGGATGGTGGTGGTACTGGTGTGTTGGTGGTGGTGGATTGGTGGTGGTGGTGGTGGTGGTGCATCCCGGGTTCAGGTGGATGGTGGTGGTGGTGAGTAGTGGGATTGATGACTACGACCGTGCCTTTTTCATTTTTTCCAAAGACGGTCGTAGCATCAGGGGTTTTTGAAAGCTACGACCGTGCTTTTTCATTTTTTCCAAAGCCGGTCGTAGCTTCAGGGGTTTTTGAAAGCTACGACCGGCTTTTTTCATTTTTTCCAAAGCCGGTCGTAGCTTCAGGGGTTTTTCCTGTTTTTTTTCTATGTCGGTCGTAGCATCTGGGTTTTTTCCTGTTTTTTTTCCAAAGCCGGTCGTAGCATCTGGGTTTTTCCTGAATTTTTTTTTCCTATGCCGGTCGTAGCTTCAGGGGTTTTTCTGAATTTTTTTGTTCCTATGCCGGTCGTAGCATGTCGTAGCATCTGTGGTTTTTCCTGTTTTTTTTCCAAAGCCGGTCGTAGCATCATGGGTTTTTGTGAATTTTTTGTTCCTGTGCCGGTCGTAGCATCACAATTTGCCTGGGTTCCTAGGATTAAAAAGCCGGTCCCTGGCATCCCCAAATTTCGTTGGCTCAGTGACCCTGCACAGACATTGCTAATGGTCAATGACGTCACCAGCTAGCCGCTCAGCGTTCCTGCACCGGCATGTTCGAGGGGATTAAAAAGCCTGTCGTAGCATCATGGGTTTTGCGATACAACAGTGTCCTTGAAACCTAATATAAAATACCATCATCCCTAGTCTATTTTTAATTTCATATTTACTTCCAACCATCACCCATTACATTTATCAAAGGGGATCATGTATGTGAGGGAAGAACATAACTTCAGCACTGCAAGAAGTTATGTGTGTATTTTCAAGTTCGTCCCCTGCTGCCTGTATTTACCCAGGTCTTTTTCCTAAATATAAAACTTATCCAATTCATTCCTATTCTGTTTCATGTTGATACGTATAATAGGTTATTAATATTCCCCTTTAGTATGACCATTCAGTCACACCTCTATCATGTCACCCCTATTTCTTCTTCTTCGTCGTCGTTCTAGAGAATGTAATTTGAGCTATGACAATCTTTCTTGAAGGATCGTTTATTATGCATAGGGCAAAAAAACAGTAACCCTGAAACCTAATGTAAAATACCATCAACCCTAGACTATTTTAAATTTCCTATTTACTTCCAACCATCGGTCATTGCATGAAACAAAAGGGGAGCAGCACTGCAAGAAGTTATTTGTGTATTT